CTTTCCGTCTCTTCTGTCATATATATGCCCAGAAATTGAGTTTGTTCTTTTCCTTGTTATTTATTGCAGAGTTTTAAAAAAAAATAAGCAGAAAATATATACAAACACAACTGACAACAGTACAACCTTCTTTGCTTCTTGTAGAGGATAGCAGGAGGGCTCGAGTATTTACTAGAGCGTTACAGGACGTCGAACACTTTACCTTCATCCTTCGCAATGGATCGTATATACGAGTTCCACTCGAGGTCGGGTGTGAGTTTTGTGGCCCAACAGTCTTTCGAGTCACGGTGCTTCCCGGAGAGAACCGCCGTTCATCCTGATTGGTGGCGGTGATGGAATGTAACTAAGTTTCGTCTACGACGTATTCAATATCACCGGCCAGTTTTTACGCCATTGGGTAGTTTGTGCAGAATCGGAAGAGAGATCAGCCGCCAATCTCTGACCATCGAGATTTTTAGAGGTGCGCCCGTATATAGTCGTATCATCGGCATAGATGTGTACAAATGATCTGGATATATTCTTAGGTAGTTCAGGGACCTACCTGTTAGGAATGATTTTTATGATTGAGAAGATCCTTCCAATGTTTCCGTAACTGGAGAGGTTGTGTAGTTAACATTTGTGCCACACCTTGTCGAAGGCCTTTCATATATGGAATTCAATGGCCCTTGAGGTGCTTTTGTCGTCAAGAGCCTCACTGATTCTATGATTGATGGGAGTTGGGACGTCGGTAATCGATCGGGATGTCCGTGGTATTCGCTTTTAGCTCTCAATTTTGAAGTAACGTAGTGAAAACATTTTTCCATGTCTTCATTTTGAGATAAGTTCTGATTGTTTATTTAATCATTTGTCATGGTCTGGGAAGGTGATTATAGATATTTTCTATCCACGCGGAATTTACACTTTCTTTATTGATTGTTGTAGGCTGATGTTCTTTCTCTAGGTACCTCCACGAGATCGCTAAAAAAAAAAAAGAGTATAGTATGATGAAAAAGACGCCAAACTTGACGAAAACAAACTTTTATCGTCTAAATGTTTATTTTTAAGAGGAAAGATCGAAGTATTTTTGTTTTTTTTCCATTTTTTAATCGTTCCTAGCACGTCCGAAATTTTCGTTAGAAATCTTGTTTTTTTTTGTTTTGTTTTGTTTTTTTTTTGAGTCAGCAAAATTGACCATTTTTTACCATTTTATAAAAAAATCTGGAAATCTCACTTTGAAATTCTTTTAAATATCAATTATCATTTTTTCAAAACTTATTTTAAGAAAATCAGAAATTATAATGTTTATTTAAAATAATTTGAACCAAGCTTAACTTAGCTTTTGCGCCGAAAAGATGTAATTTGAAAATAAAACAAAGCAGGTCATAAACTTTCGCGTCACTTGACAGGTGGTGAACAACATATTGACGGATTCCGTGAGGATAATTTGTTCTACGGAAGGAGAAAAGTGAAATAATTTACATTTAAGTGAACAAATTATTTACCCCGTTATTTTTAAGGAAAACTTTCAGCGCTCTATTTTTTTTTTGTACTTAGCTTTCACTTTTATGTTTACGATGCTTTATGGAAAATATATTCTAAAGATATTAAAATAAGACTGTTAAGAGTGACATTAAATTTAACATTGACATTAAATCCTCATAAAAAGACTCAGGAAACCTGATTCGGCTTTTAACTAATTTTATAATATTTTAACTTAAATGTAAAAATCTATTATAATTAAGAAATAACAAGTCATAACAAAAAACGTGCTAAAAATTGTGTATGTTAGATACAAAGAAAAACCAGGTTTTTTTTAATCAAAATTTAGAATGTTCTAAAAAGTAGGAAAAATTTTTAAAAAATAATTAAAGAAAATTTGGTCTTTCCTCTTAATAATAACATAAGCATTTAGACGATAAAATTTTGGTTTCGGCAAGGTTATGCGTCTTTTTCATCAAGCTATGCTTTTTTTTTTCTTTTTTAGCGATTTCGTGGAGGTACCTATCTTACTTTGCATCATATTTTTGGTGTGAAAAATTATTATTTGTTGTTGATTATTATCATTACATTTACTTGTGCTTCTGTGTGCATTCATTCTTATATATATATATATATATATATATATATATATATACTAACGTTTGACTGCTAGATCCCTAACTTCCTTTAGGGGCCTACTTGTTATAATTAAAATGTCTTTTAGTCGAGTTCCAACTTTCCCTCCTCATTTACTTCATTAAGTGTGTTTTGTATTCATTTATATCTAATATTGCCAACGAATATCTTTGAAAAGGCGTTGGCTGAAAGGTACCTTAGGTATGACGTCCGTTTTGTTTAAAGCTATATATAACACCCACAGTGGAAGGGGGGAAACATATCCGTACACATACAAATTTTTAATTTATTTTATTTCCAACTAATGAATATACAATGAGATTTTTTTTATGCATATTTAGTGGTTATGCATCTGTGTACATTATATTATATGAAAAGTATTTTTATTCATTACTTGGTAATTCAATAAATTAAAAATTTGTATGTGTACGCATATTTGTACCCCCCACTATATATATATATATATATATATATATATATATATATATATACGCGCGCGCAGAATAAAAGTATTTTTACACACAATGTTTACCTTTTCAGGGAAACGGTTATATTTAAAGTGTTCAATACACAATTAAAAAAATCGTGAGTGTAGAGCCAGTTAAGATCTAAAATATTACAAACACTAAACTTTGCCACTACTTTGGTTTCTCCCAATGGAGGCTTTACCAAACAGTGTAAAGGTCAATTGTTTTTCTATCACACTATTTATACACTTTTGGTGTTGGTGGGAAATTTAATGGAAAGATACTGGTAAAGCAAGAGTAGACAAAGTATGACGCTTGACGATTGCGCCTAGCATGTAACAGCCTGTCGCCTCTGAGTGTTGACTTCAATGTTCACTTTTATATTTACACACGCTCTATCCCTGATATTGAACACTTTATAGCACACCTTATAATTGTTTCTTATATATATATATATATATATATATATAAGTCTGTACTAAATTAAAAAGGGTAAACTTCCTCGACGTAACTCTAGATTTAACAAACAACATAAACCAACCTCATAAAAAACCTAATACTAACCCCTTATACACCCGAAGTCAAACCACCCTCCATCCATAATTAAGCATATACCCTCATCAATAGAGAATAGAATCAGCATTAACTCCGCTAATAAAGAAATATTCCAACAATAATTTTTATAACGTAGCCCTAAAAAATAGTGGATACAAAAATGCTAACATCAATTATAGAAACAATTGTACTAACCAGAAAAAAACAGGAAAAGAAAAATCATTTGGTATACCCCTCCGTTCAACAAAATGGTTAGTATTAAGCTAGGACAGAAATTCCTAGCTTTACTTGAAAAACACTTTCCTACCAATAGTAGACTTAGTAAAATATTTAATTAAAACACCCTAAAATTAAGTTACAGCTGCACTGAAAATCTAGAAAGTATAAGAAAACACAATAATAAAATCCTGAATAAACCCTCATGCCAGAATAGTATTAATAAAAACCCTACAATTAAATTAGACAAAAATAGTGAAAAATTATGTGATTGTAGAAACCCAGAAGACTGAAGTCATCAAAAAAAAAAACAAAAAAAAAACAAATGTTAGCGACTTACGACAGTTTTTTTTTTTATACACAAAACCCTTTCAGGAAAAAAAAAAAAAAAAAAAATTAATCTCCATAGACACTTAACCAGACTAGACGATGTCATCTTCCGCTTTAAAATTGGACACCCCAACCTTACTCTGACTTGACGTCTGTGAATGTAACTGAGATATTGATACAAATTATTAACCCTTACGCCCCTTTTCTTTAAACAATTGCTCTAGCCGTTACCATAGTAATCTTAATTTCAATAATGAATATGCTTATAAAACGCCTAAATTTCAGAAATAAGTTATTCAAAAAAAAATTTCGCTTGAAGATGAAACAGAGCTTAGTACTTTAATTCAAATAATTATATTGAAGTTTTCGGCACTTGTTTTGAAACATGAGAACTCTTATGTAGCGCGTTGGAATCATATTTTTAAATAAATAATTATATATATATATATATATATATATATATATACACACACTCACTCACTCTCATCCAGATCAATGTTGGTCCAGTTGGTATTTTTCGTATGTTTCCAAGCTACCATTACTTCAGATCTTTCATTTAGCAAGTTACCTTGCTCTTGATATAACAGAATCGCCAGCTTTTCTTTCTGCCAAAACCTGCACCTAATATTTCCAATACATTATTTCTTGGCTTTTTCAAAAATACTTCGACTCATTTTCCTATTTTTTTTCTTTTATCACCCACACGTAGCTAGCTAGTTTCGTATGTTTGTAACTTTCTTTATTAAATGATGAGCGATGGTTATATTATCTTTTCTTTAAGCTGTCTTCCAACGCAGCCAAAATACCCTTATTTTGGCCTTTTTCATTTTTCATCCCTGCATTCTGTTTTACGTTGTCCGTTGAGTGGGCACTTATTTTTATTTCAATAATTGCAAATTGTGATCATTTATATTATTAGATTGCGCGCGATCTTTGTTAAACTAGAACAGTCTACCCCAGTGAGCGAAATAAAGGGTTCAGTTCGACATTCCAACCACCTAAAGAAGGCCGGAGCGTACAACGGCCGAAATGTTGTGATAAACATGACGACAAAGATGAGGACAATTGTTGTGATGTAGAGGTTGGCACTAATCAGCCACTAGACTCATCTTACTGGTGGTTACTCTCAGTGACCACTCATAAGAGTGTTCACTTATGCTTATGCAAATTATGCATACTAATTTGCTAGTATCACTACATCTCCCTGAACCTTAAGGGTTTTATTCCTCTCCTAGATCTTGTACTCCTTCTGCTATTTTCCTCACTTTGCTCTATTTCTCTCTCTCCCGTATTTCTTTCACTGGGAGACCTCGATTGACCGGGCTAGGCTGTAGTCATATGTGTTTTCTTGCATCATCTGGTCTTCATCCGACCTTTCAGACTCCTTCTGGCCCTCTTCATCCTGCATTGTTTCCTCTTCTGACGCTTCCTTCTGTATTGCTTGTTCTACCAACTCATTATCAGATGGAATTGACATTTCTTTGTCATTTCGTTCTTCCTCTTCACCCTGGGTCCTTATTTGGTCAGCATGGGCTAACACACCATCGCCATTCTCTCTATTTATTATGGCTGTATTATGGCCTTTTTGCATCATAAATTCGGCTCTTTCTGCATCTTTGTTCTTTTTGTACCACATCTTTTCATTTGTAGAATATGACATCGTTAGCGGAGCTCTAATCTGTCTTCCCATTAAAGCTGATGGGCTTTCTAGTCTTCCCGCATGTGGTATCGTACGATAACTTAAAAGCAGCCTCGGTAGAAAAACTTCTACTACTTCTTTTTGCTGAGAGCATGCTTCTAGCCCCTTTTTTACGGTCTGTACCATTCTTTCCGCTAATCCGTTTGATTGAGGGTGATATGGAGGTGTCTTATATGGTTTACACACTATTTTTTCTAACCATACGTTAAGTTCTTCCTCACAAAATTCTGGTGCATTATCAGATACCAAGGTTTTTGGTACACCATTTCTAGAAAATATGACTCTTAGAATTTGCTTTATAGTAGAACTTGTTTGTAACCCGGATTATTTCAGGCCAACCTGAAAAGGAGTCTACTAATATTAATAAGAGTCCCACTCCATTAACTTATGCATGATCCATATGCACACGACTCCATGGCTCCACTTCTTTGGGCCACGAATGTAATTTGGTTTGTGTAAAGTTTAATTCATTACATTTTTTACACCTCTTTACATATTCCTCAACGTCTCTTGAATATCCCGGCCACCAAGCTTCTAGTTTTATCCTTTTTTGTGTGGCCGCTACTCCACAGTGTACATCATTTGTACACTTTCTATTATCGGTTTTCTTTGTGTTTCTGGGGGAACTACCAGGTCCCCATTGCAAATCATTCCATGTTCTATTGTTAATTTGTGTCTTATTTCTTTATAGGGTCTTTCCGCCCTAGAACAATTTCCCCACGAGTTTTTCCTTATTCTCGATACTATCCTACTTAGCACCGGATCATGTCTCGTTTCCGCAGCCATTCTGTCTAAAGACAAAACATCAGTCTCTATCAAGTGTAGGAATGAATCTTCAAATTCTTCCTCCGTTTTGTCTTTTGACTCCTTGTAAAACCTCAATCTTGATAGTGCGTCCACATGTGGAATTGAATTTCCTTTGACATACTCTATATCAAAGTCAAATGCCATCAATCTTATCGCCCATCGTAAAATCCTTGATGTTGTGACTTTGGGTAATTCTTTCCTTGGGTTAAATATAAACTCTAAATGGTCTATGATCACTTCTTAATAGAAATTTTTTTCCAATTAAAAATTGTCGGGCTCTGGTAGTTGTCCACACGATAGCCAATGCTTCTTTCTCTATGTTTGAGTAATTACATTCAGTGTTCGTTAACCTTCTCGACAAATATATTATCGGCTGTCCTTCTTGTGATAATATTCCCGATATTGAATGTTCACTTGCATCTGTAGTGAGTGTTATGTCCTTTTTTGGATCAAAAATTTTAACTACAAGTTTCTTTGACATAATTTCTTTTAATGTTTCAAAAGCTTTTTGCTGTTCGTCTGGCCACATAAATTCCACATTCTTTTTTTCTTAAATTTGCAAACGGTTCCGTCAAGTTCGTGTATTTCAGTAAGTATCGCCTGTAAAAATTTACCAATCCCAAAAAGACTCCAATTCTTTTTTATCTGTAGGTGTAGCTACTTTTAGTATTTTTTTCTATCAATGCTTGGTCTGTTGATATACCTTCTTTTGAAATGGAATAACCTAAAAAAGATATTTTGTTAGAATTGCTTACGCATTTTTTTCATTTATCGTTATTCCAGCATTTCTTAATCTATTCAAGACTAAGTCAGTTTCTTTTAATTCCTTTTCATTAGTAGCTCCTATGCATATGTCGTCTTGGTAACAAACCATATTTTGTACATTTCCCAAAAACTGTTCAATGGCCCTTTGAAATATGGCGCTTGCAGTTTTTATTCCATAAGGCATTCTTTTCCATCTTAGTAACCCTATTGGCGTATTTATCGTGGTTACTTTTTTGAAGTTTTCGTCTATTGGTATTTGGTGGTATGCCGTTTTTAAATCTATTTTTGAAAAAACGGACATCCCTGCCAGTGCATGTAATGCAAGTTCAACATTGGGTATGGGATATGAATCTGAGCATATCTTGTGATTTACTCCTATTTTGTAATCTCCACAAATACGTAAATCACCATCTGTTTTCCTCAACACTACAATGGGTGATGCCCACTTGCTACTTCCAGGCGGAACATGTTCAAGAAGGTCTTGTTCTACTAATTTACGTAGTTTTGTCACTACTAATGGCAATAAATGTACTGGTAATTTTCGTGCCTCATAAGAGGGGGGGAAACATTTTCTTTTACTTTTAAACTTGCTTTATAGTTTAACTTTCCAGTTTTTTCCATTTTTATTTCATTAATTAACTTAGTAGAATTTATATTAAGCACGTCATTTCCAATAAGCCTGTGTTTTTTTTATAACTTGTAACAATTATAGGTATTTATTCAAATTTTTCTTTTAACTCTAATGAACCTTCAAAGTATCCTAATGTTTTTATAACCGACCCATCAAATTAGCGGAGTTGGAAACTGCTTTTTCGTAAAGGTGGCTTACCAATGTGTTCCCCAAAATTTTTTGGTATCAGTGTTACTTCACTCCCAGTATCCATTTGCATATCTAAATTGCAGTTATTAATTTTGACCTTTATTATAATATCTTTTTTCTTATGTTTAAAAGTCTTATTTTTTAATGCAAAACTTCCCTGTCGGTGTCGTTTTCTTCAATTCTTTCAACATTTTTCTTTTTTAATTTACACACTGCTTGAAAGTGGTTCTTTTTTAAGCAATTATTACAAGTTTTCCCAAATGCTGGACATTTTTCCTTTTTCAATTCGTGTTCACGTCCACAATACGAACACTTTTTTTTATCTTCTATAACATGTACGTATCAGCGAAATTTTGTTCGCTGGGTTGACTTTTATGATGGTGGTATTTCTGTATTAGTTCTTGTTGCTGAATAAAGTCAATACATGTATTTAAAGACATATTTCCTATTTGTAATTGTTCGATTATTTTATATCAGTGTGACGCATTGGACATACCTTCAATTAGTCTTAATTGAATCAAGTCCCTTCAATAGTTTGTTCGTCTTGTCCAAGTTTTTCAAATTCACAATATCTACTTGCATTTCGTAGACAGTGTAAAGATTTTATAATTGGGTCGTCAATTTCTTGTTTCATCGACATGAACTTTGTTCTTTCTGCCACTACCAGCCTTTGCTTGGGTCTCATATTTCTTCTTATAATCTGACTTATTTTTTTCGAAAGTCAGGTCTTCCAAATTTGAGGGATATGCCATGGTGGAGACTTTCATTACCGCCTCGCATCCAGCTGTAGCCAAAAATAAATCCGTGATTTCATTTTCGCCCCCCCCCCTTTTCCTTGTTGTCTTTCAACTTTTTTGTTCTGGCAGTGGCAGAGAAGCAACGAATCCATGTATCCACGAATTCTGGATCTTCCAGAGATAATTGATATCCTATCGGCGACGCCATTGTTGTGAAGTATAGGTTGGCACTAATCAGCCACTAGACTCATCTTACTGGTGGTTACTCTCAGTGACCACTTATGAGTGTTCACTTATGCTTATTCAAATTATGCATACTAATTTGCTAGTATCACTACAACAATAGTCCGAATAATGTAAATAGTGTACATAATACGTCACCTCAGAAATATAAACACATAATGTTGTCCTTTGTATTTTTTTAACTTCGACAGGTTCTGTAAATGTCAAATTCTCAAAGCCTTTTTTTTCATTATGTATCAAAGTAATTTCAGATGTCTCTGATTCTAAGTTTTGATTTTGTTTCCATCTTCCTTTAAAACTTCATCGTTAATCACATGTTCAGTACATGATATTGTCAGCAGCCTTCTGTAGAACCGGATTTCTGTTGTCTTCTCTTCATCGGAGAGGAAAATGTCAATCATTCACTTCTATACAGGAGAATTGATATTGGATATCAATAAAATTTTTTCGCTTTCTAACGAAAAAAAGTATACTTAAAAAAAAAAAAAAAAAAGAGTAAAATTTGAATTCTATAAAAGCCCGGACTGTACATAGATTTTTTTCTCCATATATATTTGCGTTAATTTTCATTTTTTTTTTTTCTTTTAACTCTTGCTAGTTATTTTGATAACTTCTTATATGGCACATTTGGATGCGAATTTTCTGACGGTGGGGGGCTACTAATGCCTTCTCTTGTATTCTTTGTTTATCCATACACACTCAGACGACGACTGCTTTCAATAATCATCACATTGTCTGCTTTCCTATGTCATTTGTTGTGTCATGCATTTCGCATTACCTCCCTTTGAAGCGCTCTTGTGTGTCACCGAAAAGATCAAAGGAAAAGCACAAATTACTCAAAGCAAAACTGGCGGCTTATTTCGACAAACCATAGAAGACAAATCAAAAACCACAATAGAAAAAAAATGAACGGAAGACACCTTTTTATTATGCCTCTGCTTCCTCAGTAATATTTTTTCGGAAATGAGGTAAAAATTGATTCTTAATCAAAATCGGAACAATTAATTTAAGTTAATTACACATCAAACAGGGCGTGTTAGCGACAAAGGCCTCAGATGTGAGAATAACAAGAGAATTAACTTGTTTTCTCTCCTTGTCTGTCGAAGATATTCTTTTATTAAAAACCAAATTGACTCCCTCAATTTTTTTCTCTCCAGCTAAAGTCATTTTTTTCTTTTTTATCTTCAATTTAGTTTCATGCATTTTCTACATTTGCCAACGTCTCTTTTCATTTAGGTCTTTAAATTTGTTTTCCCCTCTATCTCATGATTAGATTTTTTTCTTTCTTTACTCGCATTCTCTCTTTCCATTGTCTTTTCTCTTTCTCTGGCGACCTTCATTGTTCCCTTCCTTCTCTCTCTCCTCGTTGTTTTTAGCCCTCTTCTCTCCCATTCTCTTCAGTGATTTTAGCCCCCACTCTTCTTTCTCTTTTACTCCTCCCTTTCTTAGTCTCGACTGTTTTACTCTTTCTCTCTCTCATTCACACTTTCTCAACTATTTTTCTTCCCACATTCCCATTCTCCACTATTTTCTTCATCCATTTTCTCTTTTCAGTTTTTCAACCATTTTCTCTGTCTCCATCTTTGCCGTTTTTCTTCCTCCTCTCCGCGTTCGCCGTTTTTCTTCCTCCTCTCCGTCTTCGCCGTTTTTTTTCCTCCTCTCCGTCTTCGCCGTTTTTTCTTCCTCCTCTCCGTCTTCGCCGTTTTTTCCCTCCTCTCCGTCTTCGCCGTTTTTTCCCTCCTCTCCGTCTTCGCCGTTTTCTTCCCTCCTCTCCGTCTTCGCCGTTTTTTTTCCTCCTCTCCGTCCGTCTCCTCCGTCTTCGCCGTTTTTCTTCCTCCTCTCCGTCTTCGCCGTTTTTTCTTCCTCCTCTCCGTCTTCGCCGTTTTTCTTCCTCCTCTCCGTCTTCGCCGTTTTTCTCCCTCCTCTCCGTCTTCGCCGTTTTTCTTCCTCCTCTCCGTCTTCGCCGTTTTTCTTCCTCCTCTCCGTCTTCGCCGTTTTTCTTCCTCCTCTCCGTCTTCGCCGTTTTCTTCCTCCTCTCCGTCTTCGCCGTTTTCTTCCTCCTCTCCGTCTTCGCCGTTTTTTTCCCCTCCTCTCCGTCTTCGCCGTTTTTTCTTCCCTCCTCTCCGTCTTCGCCGTTTTTTCTTCCTCCTCTCCGTCTTCGCCGTTTTCTTCCTCCTCTCCGTCTTCGCCGTTTTTCTTCCTCCTCTCCGTCTTCGCCGTTTTTCTTCCTCCTCTCCGTCTTCGCCGTTTTTCTTCCTCCTCTCCGTCTTCGCCGTTTTTCTTCCTCCTCTCCGTCTTCGCCGTTTTCTTCCTCCTCTCCGTCTTCGCCGTTTTTCTTCCTCCTCTCCGTCTTCGCCGTTTTTCTTCCTCCTCTCCGTCTTCGCCGTTTTTCTTCCTCCTCTCCGTCTTCGCCGTTTTTCTTCCTCCTCCCCACTTTTTTCTTCACTTATACCCCCACCCACCTTTATCCCCCTCTCTCACTCTGGCTTACTTGATGCCTCGGTCTCATGAATTGTAACCAAGTTAGGAGACTCTTTTCTTCCTTTCTTTCTCTCTCATTTTTTTTCTTATCTCAATCTTTCCTTTGCCCGATTTATTTCCTTACATGTCTCACCAAAAATCCTTTTTTCCTTACCTTTCTTTCTTGTCTACACTATCTGTATTCTACCATAATTACAACAATTTTCCTGAATTTTATGATCACAATTTCAGAAATTAAATTTTAATTGGTCCTCTTAAAGTAAATCAGACGGCAGTTTGCTGTTCGTGGAAATATCTGTATTCACTAAAAGACAAAATCTTTCTTTTATGGACTTTTATGCATAAAGTGTTATTTTTTAGCCGTGGCATAAAACGAACACCCAAATTAGATTTATTATCATAAATCCTATGTCTTTGATTTGAGATGAAATGATTCGTTTTCGTATTTCGGATCACTTTTTTTTTCGAACTCCATTTTAATACAAATTCGATCAGAATTCCACTGGGAGAGAATATCGTTGTCAGTGTGTGAAACTATAAAAAAAAAAAATGAATTAAAATTGTAGCGTCGAGCATGTTTGTCAGCCATGACAGCAGCAATACAAATAAACCGGAGTCTCATTTGACGTATGAATATAGAAAACAAAGTTCGTTTATTTAATTTAATTTTAGCGTTATTTCTTTAATGATTGTTAAAATGGTAACTGTCATTTCATTTTAAAATCAATTCAGTCTCTCCAACAAGAAATTTACTACGTCTAAGTTTGATATAAGACCGTGGATGGGCTAGCCTGTTTAGTAGGAAGAGTTTTATTGCTCATACTTGTGTTAATGTTGTCAGAAATTATAGCAATTATTATAAAGTTTTAATATCGAGATTAATTCAAAACCTTTTGTGTCATTGAATGTGCTGAGGTGGTACTAGACCTTCGCACCACCCGGCCTTGTAATAATTCACCGCAATGTAATTCGGCACCCCCAAGAAATATTCTTTTCCTGTTGGCTATTCTTCTTGCACTGTTTACATTCATCACTTAACGTACTTTACTGTTCATTACAAACAAAATATTCCATCCCGCGTAAGACGTTAAACTACGTCCAGCAGCAAGGCCTCTGATCAGTATGTTTTGAGGAGCGTGGGACCACCTCTTAATTGCTGGTGTTCCCAGATCCATCCTGACCCGGGGTGGTAGCACCTGTTAGGGCTCCCAGCTATGGGCAAATAGTTAACTATTACCAGAAATATTTTTTTTGAAAAAAGATTAGTGCCAGCAATAACATTTTGAAGGAAATATATTACCAGAAAATAGATTTTTGACAAAACAAAATATTACCAGCAATTAAAAATGTCGGCATTAAATATAATGTGGTTGATATGCCGTCAAACAAAATAAACCAAACCAATCTAAACCAAAGAATACATATTCTCTTCATACGAATCTATCCTAAAAATGTTGTCGGCATTAAATAACCCATTGAGGTTCATATGCCATAAAACAAAATAAACCAAACCAATCTAAACCTAAGAATACATATTTTATTCATATGAATCTATCCTAAAAATGTTGTCGGCATTAAATAACCCATTGAGGTCGATATGCCGTAAAACAAAATAAACCAAACCAATCTAAACCAAAGAATACATATTCTCTTCATGCGAATCTATCCTAAAAATGTTGTCGGCATTAAATAACCCATTGAGGTTCATATGCCATAAAACAAAATAAACCAAACCAATCTAAACCTAAGAATACATATTTTATTCATATGAATCTATCCTAAAAATGTTGTCGGCATTAAATAACCCATTGAGGTCGATATGCCGTAAAACAAAATAAACCAAACCAATCTAAACCAAAGAATACATATTCTATTCATACGAATCTATCCTAAAAATGTTGTCGGCATTAAATAACCCATTGATGTCGATATGCCGTAAAACAAAATAAACCAAACCAATCTAAACCAAAAAAAAAAAACATATTCATACAAATCTATCCTAAAAATGTTGTCATTAAATAAACCATTGAGGTTGATATGCCGTTAAATAAACCAAACCAATCTAAACCAAAGAATACATATTCTATTCATACGAATCTATCCTAAAAATGTTGTCGGCATTAAATAACCCATTGAGGTTGATATGCCGTTAAACAAAATAAACCAAACCAACAGTTTTTTTAAAGACATCACCAGAGTTTTACAACAATATTGAAAATTGCGTTGACTGGTGCCTAAACTATGGTTTGTTAGCAGTCAGTATGCACTGCATTGCTTGCAAGAGCCGTTGTAGGGAACAAACATATTCGCGATTCGTGGACAACATGATTTGGAGGTGTGCACGTAAAGCTTTGGTGGGTGCGAAAGTGTCATATCGCCTGTGCTGGTGTACAATATTCATTTTAGTTATATTATTTATATGTTTATAAAGATCTAATAAATACAAAAAGGTAAATTATATAGTATTAGTTATCAGTAATGTAGGATGCGAAAATGTGCAAGGCACAAATTTCCACCCATCCCTTTTAAGGAAAAAGGTATATATATGCACACATATAAATAAACAGTATTTACAAAACTGACAAACTGGAAAGGTTTTCTTGTGAGGCATTTCGTCCGTTAGAATTCCATCAGACTAGAGCTTGTTGACGTTACCACGTCTACACATACTTACAAAACGAGAGACGAAGGTAGTTTCAAAATTTTCGAAAGAATACTTTTTTTTTCTCTCGATCTTGCCGAAATCATCTATATTCTTTTTCTTTCCATCACCTTTGTCCTTGACTATTCCACACTGTGATAACACAAAATCTACCGAGAAAAGGGATATATTGTATGTTTAGTTTCGTGCGCATATGGCAACGTCAACAAATCCCAATCCGATGAAATCCTAACGCATGAAACGAGTCACAAAAAAAAACCAAAAAAAACTTTCCAGTTTGTCATATTATATATATATATATAGTAGAAGGCCTTTCCGATATGAAGAGTTATATTTAGATTAAAATAAAAGAACTGAAATCAGGTTTTACATTTATTTTCAATGTTTTATAGTAAACAAAATAAGCTAATGGTGAATGAAATATAACGGAACTGATTTTAAGGAAAAAGAAATAAATTAAGTAATGTTAATGAAAATTCATTAAATTAAGTCTGCCACGTATGCAAAACAAATAATGTAATGAGGATTTTTTAATCGCTGTTGCATGATGATTATTTCTCTTCTAATGTCATTCTCAACTTTTTCCGCATTTCGTTTTGCTTTTCTTCTTGAAATATTTTAAACGAAAGACATTTTTAAACACTGCGTCCGTTATTGCAATCGTTATTTATCGTCATAACTGAATGCTGGATTTCTTTCCATAAAACTGACAACCTTTTCAATAACTTTTTCAATTTAAGTCCAGGTTTCATGGCAATCATGCATCTCGTCGCTATATCATCGCAGACGTGTCTCGTTGTCATCCTTTCCTCTTATTTCCATCATCTTTTGCACTAATAAAAGCCATTAGGGTGAAATAAGCATAAGAAATTTTTCAAAGTGAATTTCCTGAAAAAACAGGAATTTTAAATCGGTTACATATCACCCAAATAATTCAAATATACACATCAAAACCATGTCCCGATATAAGAAAGAACAGTAAGATATATACTCCGGTGTTCTTATAGATATTTTTACAAAATAGTGCTTAATGTAAATTTACAGAGCATTAAAATTATAAATTGACTTAAAATATTTTTCGCTACACAGTTCTAACCATGTTTCAAAAATGGAAGCAAAAAGCCCCGAATTTAATTTTGTAATTAAATTAAAGACATTAGTTCCATTTCATCCTCAAGCGAATTTTGAAGTAACTTTTAAAATTACTGGGTTTAAAAATTCGCTTGAGGATGAAATGGAACTTCAATTTAATTACAAAATTAAATTCGGGGCTTTTAGCTTCCATTTTTGAAACATGGTTAGAACTGTGTAGCGAAAAAAACATTAAATCAATTTATATATATATATATATATATATTAAAGACATTTTTTTTTATGTTTAACTTTGTTATTTTATAGATACAAGTATTAAACAGAGCATTTGCTTAAATACTTGTATCTATAAAGTAACAACGTTAAACATAAAAAAAATCTCTTTAATAAATAAATTGTCGGACCTTGTCCATTTCTTAATATATATATATATATATATATGTGTGTGTGTGTGTGTGTGTCGATAAACATTACATAGATCCTGACACGAAAGATATAAATACCAAACGGTAATTATCCTGTAGTCTTGATACTGTATTTTTTCTTTTGCTTTTCTTCCAAGTGGATTTGAACACCGTCTAATGCCACTGGTAAGAAACATGTTTGTATCAATCCCAGAAAGTAAGTTTAAAAAGGGACAATAGTATTGTCTGGGTTAATCTTAACATAAGGCTAATGCAAATGAAAATCCAATGCGAATTGTAATTAGATACATTCCGTATGATCGAAATAATCCTTCAAAAATATTTTTGTGGTATATTATAGGCAAAAATTTTGAGTCCATCTTATGGATTTAATGATTAGTAAGTTTCATTCCTTTTGGGTTTTAATTAACTCGTAAGTAGAAATGCTGAAGGTCTATTAATCATTAGTGTATGGCGTCCATTTCTTTTATATTGTTATGGTGAAACACACCTATTCTATAGTTAATAAACTCTCCCACCTAATATAAGTAGGAGTAGTAAGAGAAACGAGGGTCAGTCGATGTCGGACGACCGGCTGAACGGTTGAACTCTCTGCCTTCGGGCGGGGTGGAACCCGAACGAGGCTACACCGAAGGGCGGATTCTCGTTCGGGGATGTAAACCGACCCTGAACCCGTTTATACGGGTTCAAAGGGTATATTTTTGGCCAAGCCCACGGGCTCGGAGATCCCACGTTAAACCGGCCTTGTGCCACATGATACCCTCGTGTGTAGGGGGGGGGGACTAAATACTAGTCGATGTCGGACGACAGTAGTCGACAGTTAGTCGAATACGAAAGTAGTCAGCGACCACAAGTTTACTCTGCGTAATGCCTATTATATAAATTTCCTAACGTTTAGGACCGATTTAGTACAAATACAAGCCTCCACTGCGAAACAACTGCACAACACATATTGAGTACACATTTCCCCTTTATTTTCCTAAATCAGTCTATGGCTTTATATATCGCTTTAATAATTATCCCCTCTTAGTCTATTTGTTAAATATAATGTAATCAAAATAAAATTCATAAATGGATTTTTTATGGTCAGGTAAGGAATATTAAATAATAGTTTCAGACTATTATTTTTTAGTGGCAGTGTATTTTGGCTCAGACCTTCTGAGGCTGACCTTTTAAGGTCAGATGGTAGACAAAATAAGGATGTCGCTTTGGATTGGCTGATCTGAACGTGGGAATATTATTATATTAGAGATAGAAAGTGATTTCAGGGAGTTAAGTTTTACACGTTATACAGTAAACGTGGTTATTTTGTATCTCGGGGAACTTGCTCTGCAGTGGGTGTGATAGATCGACCCCCACTGGCTAGTTAAAAATGTACCATTCGACGTGTTTACTAAAATAGATAAGTTTTAAATCCTTTTTGTTGAAGTTCTCTTTCATCTCCGAACTCAAAAAAAAAAATTTCGACATCCGGCCGGGAGAAGACTAGCGAAAGAAGACACGGTGTTATGGAGTCGACCTCGTCAACCAAAAGACCTTCCCACAACGAAGCGGGTATATAACATTTTGTCTATTTGGCCAAAGCCTCTCCAGAAGATAGGGATTATGTAACATTATCATCCTCTCATCGAATTTTGGCAAATGAACCTCTTTATTTTCCTAAAGCAGTATTAAAAGAAGTAATATTTTATTTTCTCGACAGAGCTAAAAATATTTTTCATTTATATGAATACATAAATATTTAAACACATTATTATTTACAGTATTTACATTAGTCAGACTATTGTCCTCATCTTTGTCGCCATATTTGTCACAGCGTTTTGGCCGTTGTACGCTCCGGCCTTCTTCAGGTGGTTGGAATTTCGAACTGAACCCTTTATTTCGATCACTGGGGTAGACTGTTCTAGTTCCACGTGCCATGTTTGATGGATGTTAGTTATCAGTTATCTCCTGCTAATTTTCCCTCTGAAAGTTCTCCACTGCCTTAACCAGGTATTGAACTCACCTTATTTGGGTCTGTCACTGGATCTAACCAACGCCTTTATCCACTGTGCCATGTGTCCTTGAGGACTAGAACAGTCTACCCCAGTGATCGAAATAAAAGGTTCAGTTCGAAATTCCAACCACCTGAAGAAGGCCGGAGCGTACAACGGCCGAAACGTTGACAAATATGGCGACAAAGATGAGGACAATAGTCCGACTAATGTAAATACTGTACATAATACCTCATCTCAGAAATATAGACAGACATTATTATTTATTTTTACGTTTCCATACATAGCCGTCGGAACATTTTTTTTTTGTGTGTGTGTTTGTGTGTATCTGGTCAAATTCAGTGTTTCTTCTCAAAATTAACTGTATTTTTGTTATAGCAGTAAGGAAGCAGGGGAGGAGTTTTGACTCTCCGAGGTGTCGGTTGTTTCATTAGCTGATTCTACATTCATTTCCTCTATATTTCGTTTGTTAACCCTATCGCCTCTGGGTCTTTAACGACAACAAATATGACCGTATACAGCTGCTGGTGAGTTTGGTCTTTCCTCCTGCCAGTTCTACATTGTCGCTTCATCAAAAACTCTCTTCACCGACGTTGTGTTGAAAATTCTGCGGATAGGGATGTTGACGGAACTATGTTCAACAAAAACGGTATGGGGGTCAGACGAAGAGATATAGAAGATTTTCGTCGAAGCATCGCCAGACTGGACCGGTTCGTCAAACGCAATAGTCACTCTTTGTTAACTCGTGCATGAAAACAAGATAAAAACTAACTACAGACTTTCACAGACCCTTCACCAAAACCTCAGGGCCAATTTATATTTGCATATTATAGATAGAAGTCAAAGGATAATCTGGCATCGCCTTGTAAATTCTTGTTGGTCTGCAGACGATGCACACATGATGAGTCAATGATTTATATCTGCTACAAATGTTATATTTTATAGCTGAATTACACTGTACGACGACAAAATTCTTATCGATTAAATATTTTTTAATCAATTCACCCCATGGAAGGCGATAATGCCACCAAGATGCAAGGGACTTAAAAGACAGACAGAGAGGGTAAGACCTCCGAGTCTAGCTGAGTCGTGATACAGTCTTTGACTGTAAGGGACGTCTGTCGAACTCTCTGCTAACGCAGAGAGGAACCCGGACGAAGCTTTGCCGAAGGGCAAGGTTTCGTCCGGGGAGGTAGACAGGGCCTGAACCCGTCTAGGCGGGTTCAAAGGCTATATTTTTGGCCGCGCCTACGGGCCCGGAGATACCCACATTAAACCGGCCTTGTGCCATATTCAATCCTCGTGGGTGGATCGATAAATACTAAGATGCAAGGGACTACTCGGTGTAAAAGAAAATGAGAAGACTTTAGTTGGAGCCGGAAACACCAATATTAAACAGGAAAGAAGGGATAAACACATACTCCGTTCAGCGAGGAGCTGTTTGAACCGGGCAAGGGGGGAAAACTGTCATATTTACATAGGCTGATAAAAAGATAAATAAAATAGTGATTTAAAGTTAAACTTAATTGGCTTTCGGCCACAACGATTTGAAATACCATTTAACAAGCGATTACCGAAGTTAGGCAATGTCGAGCCAAGTCAGATGGGCGACCGAATACCAGGTGCTGTAAGCTTGGATGAGCGGGTGGTGTAATGAATAATGATTCAGAAGAGTTAATTGGAGAGCCGAGTTCCAATTCCATTTGGGCTCGTTATATTCACTTAGGTGCAAATTCTTTTGAGAATGGTATGAATTCACCTCTTCTCTCCCAGTTATGGGCTAATTAGTAAGACTTATCACTAAATCATTATTTTAATCTAAACATTTTATGGCTTTAAATAACCTGCACAAAGTGTTGATAAGCCGTAAAAAATAAATAAATCACTTTTATTCCTTACGTGTGTCTCATTTTCGAATACAAGAATATTGACAACCTCAGTCGTGCCGACCTATAGTTGACTGTCCATGACTAATTGAAGTCAGTTATCTCCTGTTAATTCCCCTCTCCACTGCTTTAACCAGGTATTGAGCTCACATGGCATGTGGAAGGCGAACAGTCTACCCAAGCGAGCGAAATAAAGAATTCAGTTCGACATTCCAACCACCTGAAAAAGGCTGGAGCGTACAACGGCCGAAACGTTGTAATAAATATGGCAACAAAGATGAGGACAATAGTCCGAATAATGTAAATAGTGTACATAATACCATATCTCAGAAATATAGACTATTATATTACAGATGTCGCAGAACTAGCAAGAGACTGAATAATACAAACGAACACATTAAAATTTAAATAACAAGAAGTGTTTTAACAGAGGACGGTTAATGTGACACCGAAATCCGAAGGTGCATTGGAATAGCGAAAGATGTCTTCGAAAAGCTATGTAAATTATTAAGAAAAAAGAAAATTCCGTTAGAAGCAAAAAAAAAAAAGAATACTGAAATGTTATGTAATATTGGTCCTCCCATATGCCAGTGAATGTAGGGCAATCTCCTCACAGACGAAGAAGAGGCTTGTAGAAACAGAAATGTAGCTCTACAGGAGGATGCTGAGAATGGCATGAACTGATCATGTAAGTAATGACATTTTAAGCAAACGTGAAACAAAACGAGACTTTGATTTAGAATCGGAAATAGTTGAAATTTCGACGGCTTATAATTAGAAAATAGCGCTTAGTAATATATGTTTATACCTCTGAGATGAGGTATTATGGTTACTTGCATTATTTACATTATGCGGACCGTTTTCCTCCTCTCCAATGCCATGTTAACAACGTTTCGACCGTTGTAGGCTCCGGCTTTCTTCAGTTGATTGGAATTTTGTGCCGAACCCTTTATTTCGTCACCAGAGCAGATTGTTCTAGTTCCACGTGCCATGCCTCTTTAGAATGTCTCGGTTATTTCCCCTTAACTCAACTCTCCAAGTTTTGGTAAGTTTGGCAATAAAAAAAAAAGAAAAAAAGAAAAAGGATTGTTTCTTTTTTTGTTTGTTTTATTTTATTTTTTTCTAAAATATTTGCGATTCCCCCCGCCCCGAATATATCTCTGCGATTATTTCATGGGGGCAAATCCGCTATCATGTTCGTATCGTTACGAACACGAGCCAATGAAATTCTACTGGGTCTGCACCTGGACTTAAATTCCGTTGTTGTGATTTCTCTGAGCAACGCCCTTTTCAGTAGCTTTGGATTTATGCGTTTCTTAACAGCATGCACCCAGCGCCCCGCTTTCATGTACTTTACTCTTTTATCCGTAACTTCGGAATCTTCTAGATAATATCTTCTCGTAGCTTTTCATCTTTTGAGCTTGTCCAATATCCTTATCGTTGATGAGATTCGAGCAAGTAACAACAAAAAAAAAATCAAATTCTTGATAAACTACTTTTAGATAAGATTTAAGTTTATTCTGAAAAAGAAAGGCAGCTTCATGACCCAATCTCTTCCCAGTATCAGGAAAACCCGATTAGTGGCCAGACAGACTCCTATGGATACGTGAGATATTATTTGTTCGTCTTTTGCTGTTTATTTATTGATATACGTTGTTCTACCCTTTACTTTTTTTCCTTCACTAAATGTTCAACCAAAAGAAGGCCCAAGAACCAGTCGATGTAGAGATTTACTGAATGTGGCTGTTTGTAAGGACGTAAGCAGTGGAAGTAAGTGTAGATCATGAGAATATGTAAGAGAGCAACGGTTAACTCCAGACTTGAAGTCGTTAAGATTGTAGTGAACCGTTATAGCATCTTCTCGATTTTGGTCGTTTTCACCGCCGTCTCTATATCGCTCTGTTTAATTCCCCCTCCCTTGCAGTCTCTATATAGCTATATATATGTCTTTTATTTCCCATATCGTCTCTATATCGCTGATTTTTTGTTTCCTTGCCCTTTCTATACCTCGCTCTGTTGTTTTTTGTTCCTTGCCGTCTCTATACCTCGTTCTGTTTTTTTTTGTTCCTTGCCGTCTCTATACCTCGCTCTGTTTTTTTTTTGTTCCTTGCCGTCTCTATACCTCGCTCTGTTTTTTTTTGTTCCTTGAGGTCTCTATACCTCGCTCTGCTTTTTTTTGTTCCTTGCCGTCTCTATACCTCGCTCTGCTTTTTTGTGTTCCTTGCCGTCTCTATACCTCGCTCTGCTTTTTGTGTTCCTTGCCGTCTCTATACCTCGCTCTGCTTTTTTGTGTTCCTTGCCGTCTCTATACCTCGCTCTGCTTTTTTGTTCCTTGCCGTCTCTATACCTCGCTCTGTTTTTTTTTTTGTTCCTTGCCGTCTCTATACCTCGCTCTGTTTTTTTTTTTGTTCCTTGCCGTCTCTATACCTCGCTCTGTTTTTTTTTGTTCCTTGCCGTCTCTATACCTCGCTCTGTTTTTTTTTTGTTCCTTGCCGTCTCTATACCTCGCTCTGTTTTTTTTTTTTGTTCCTTGCCGTCTCTATACCTCGCTCTGTTTTTTTTTTTTGTTCCTTGCCGTCTCTATACCTCGCTCTGTTTTTTTTGTTGTTCCTTGCCGTCTCTATACCTCTCTCTTTTTTTTTTTTTTTGGTCCTTGCCGTCTCTATACCTCGCTCTGTTTTTTTGTTGTTCCTTGCCGTCTCTATACCTCGCTCTGTTTTTTTTTGTTGTTCCTTGCCGTCTCTATACCTCGCTCTGTTTTTTTTTTGTTCCTTGCCGTCTCTATACCTCGCTCTGTTTTTTTTGTTGTTGTTCCTTGCCGTCTCTATACCTCGCTCTGTTTTTTTTTGTTCCTTGCCGTCTCTATACCTCGCTCTGTTTTTTTTTTTTTGTTCCTTGCCGTCTCTATACCTCGCTCTGTTTTTTTGTTGTTGTTCCTTGCCGTCTCTATACCTCGCTCTGTTTTTTTTGTTGTTGTTCCTTGCCGTCTCTATACCTCGCTCTGTTTTTTTTGTTGTTGTTCCTTGCCGTCTCTATACCTCGCTCTGTTTTTTTGTTGTTGTTCCTTGCCGTCTCTATACCTCGCTCTGTTTTTTTTTTTTGTTCCTTGCCGTCTCTATACCTCGCTCTGTTTTTTTTTGTTGTTCCTTGCCGTCTCTATACCTCGCTCTGTTTTTTTTTTGTTGTTCCTTGCCGTCTCTATACCTCGCTCTGTTTTTTTTTGTTGTTCCTTGCCGTCTCTATACCCCGCTCTGTTTTTTGTTTTTTTTTGTTCCTTGCCGTCTCTATACCTCGCTCTTTTATTTTCATCGCCATTTTTATATTTGGCCAGGACCTAACGACTCGCAGCACAGGCTTACTGAATGTGATAGGAAATTAGATGAAGAAGTTCAGTTTATGTAGAATATATAACGGTTGCCCATAGAATTAGAGGCGAAGATTGTAGTGATCGAGCAAGCATTCTTTTAGGTGTGTTTTTTTGCTGATTATGGGAAAGAACCTGATTGGAACTTACCAGTGTACTGCGTATGGATTGATGTATATGTGTGTAGCGTGTCGTGGCGGTAAATGTTTGATCTTATTCAGTCAAGAATGTACCTCTTCTAAATATTTGCTATGAACATACCGATAGAAATAGTGAAAGGCTAGGTACGACAAAGAGTTTTAGGGTGGAAATAAATTCATCACCCCCAATGCTTTTAAAGAAGTAAAATTATATGGCTCGCCAACGGACATCAAATGACAGCAACTCAAGTGATTGTAAACAGAGACAAGGCGTGATACTGAATAATATTTTGAAAGATATAGGAGAGAGGAAAGTTCAGTTGACTTGTAAAGAAAAGGTATTCGATCTTTACCTTGTTCAGCACATATCTATGCATGTATGTGGACATCTGTGTAAATTAATAACCCCAGATTAGATTAGATTGTACACATAGAATTATTGTTAATATTCCAGGAATTGATTAGAAAAATGGTCGAACTCCCAAAGAATTTTGAGATTTGGTGGTTTCTGGTAACTACTGAAGTGATTTTTTTTTTTTTTTTTGGTGGAATTCAGACCCTCAAACAACTACACCACCTGCACATCCTGGTAATAAACACCAAAACTAAAAGAAAAATTAATGAAATAAAAATAGAAAAATCTCCTGCTATTATAAACGTTATTTTTAATGAGTACACCTATTTGAGTTTCTGCCTATATTTCTCATATGAGGTATTGTTATTATTTACATTCTCGTACAACAGATTTCGCCTGAAGAAGGCCGGGGCGTACAACGGCCGAAACGTTGTGAATATGGCAATAAACAAATAGTTACAATACCTCATCTCAGTAATATAAACAGATCCTGAAGAAGACCGGATTGTACAACGGCCGAAACATCGTGAATAGGGTAATAAAGATGAGAACAGTCCGAACAATGTAAATAGTTACAAGACCTCATCTGAGAAATATAGACTGTGAATATGGCAATAAAGATGAGGACAAGCGTTCGAACAATGTAAATAGTATAAGTACGTATTTGAGTTGTTATCCCGTTTTATTTTTCTTAAACAGTGAAATTAATAAACCAGTCTATATTGAGAAGACCTGCTAAAAAAAAAAGAAAATAAGGATTGTGACTACGACAGGAACCGAACCTGTTTTCCATTTCAGACAGGGAAACAGTTTATATGGTCGAAACGAAACATTACAAATTTGGCCCAGAAGGCCTCAGTGATAGAGGAAGGTTGGAATTAACTATTCAAGCAATGCACATTTAGCTTTGGTTTGATCTGTTTTACGGCATATAAACCTGAATCGATTATTTAATACCGACAAGATTTTTATTACAGGTAATATTTTCCCCCCAAAATGCATTGAGGGTAATAATTATTTTCTTCAATAATTCATTGCTGGTAATATTTTCTTCAAAAAAATATATTGAGGGTATTAAGTCATTTTCAAACTTTCATAGTGTTTGACCCCAGTTTGGGGGTTAACTATTTGCTCATAGCTGGGACCCTAAAAATTGCTACCGTACTGGGTCAGAGTGGACCTGGAAACACCAGCAATTAAGAGATGGTACTACGCTCCTCAAAACTTCCTGATCAGAGTCCTTGCTGTTGGACGTAGTTTATCGTCCTTACCCCCATGCCGCGGACGTAGTTTATCGTCCTTACCCCCATGCCGCGGACGTAGTTTATCGTCCTTACCCCCATGCCGCGGACGTAGTTTATCGTCCTTACCCCCATGCCGCGGACGTAGTTTATCGTCCTTACCCCCATGCCGGATTTATCGTTGGGATTTCTAGTTTATCTATGGCATGCCTTCTCAATCTAGGCGAGTTGTTATTAATTTTATTATTTAAGGAAAAAAAATGGGAGATAACAAGTCAAATACCTTTAACCACTAATAACAACGTTTATTGTAATAAATACATATTTATTATTATTGATCTTGCTATCCAGACCATAATGCTCATCATGTGACTTTACCGATAATTTTGCAGCCGTTGTATTCTATGATCGGCTTCTCGTGCCTTACTTCTTACTCTGTCACCATCTAAAAATTAACAATTTAATTCTATTCAATCCAATGTGGATATATCGTTTTTTTTTTTTTTTTATTTGATTTTTCCCAGCTTAGGGGAGATAACTCTTATCACTTAATGTTTATTTACCTTTGTGCCGCTTGTCAGATTTTTTTTCCCACTGAACCAGAGGATATTACTTTTCAGCACTAACAGTTCAATGGACTGAACTCAAATCTACTAAGGAATTAGATATGTTTCAACCAACTTTTCAAATTTCTATTTGTTCCATGTCCTTATGTCCCCTATTTCTTTTCTTTATATCTTCTATGTTTAAGTTTTCTTAATTCAAATATTCCTCCTCGAAACTCCGCATCAACTAAACCCTTTTTTATTACTCTCTCATTTACCCCTTTTTTTATCACTCTCTCATTTATCCCACTTCTGCACGTTACTCCCTCACACAGACTCGCTTCACTTTCATCAATTGTTTATTTCCATGCATATTTTAAGCCAACTTAATTCTTTGTACCCTTATTTTTGTTTTCACTTTTTCACATTTTATTCTCGATTATTGTCCCTCTTCATTCTTGCAACGATTTAATTTCCTTCTCATATCAACATTCCTATTATGGCCAGAGCATGAGAAGGCTTATCTAAATTCATTTTTTATTTTTAGCTTTTTTTCTTCAGGTTTTGTTTATCGAAAGTCCGGAATCTTTCGATTTATTACATTTGTTTTTATTTTGCGTATTTTAACTTTTACTTTTTTTTTATTTGATTTTCATGCAGTCGAAGACGCCTTTTTGTCTGAATATATAACTACCCCCACCCATATACCCAGACGATTCTCCCTTCTGTTAATCTTCTTTCTCACTCTCTCTTCTGTTTTCCTCCGTCTCACTCTATTTTCCACTGCCCTGTTTATTTTTTCTTATTATCTATTTTCTCTGTCCGTTTCTTTTTTTGTTTTTGTTTCATTGTTTTCTCTGTCCCGTTTCATTTTTTCATTCTGTTTTCTCTGTCCCGTTTCATTTTTTTCATTCTGTTTTCTCTGTCCCGTTTCATTTTTTCATTCTGTTTTCTCTGTCCCGTTTCATTTTTTCATTCTGTTTTCTCTGTCCCGTTTCATTTTTTTTTCTGTTTTCTCTGTCCCGTTTCATTTTTTCATTCTGTTTTCTCTGTCCCGTTTCATTTTTCATTCTGTTTTCTCTGTCCCGTTTCATTTTTCATTCTGTTTTCTCTGTCCCGTTTCATTTTTTTCATTCTGTTTTCTCTGTCCCGTTTCATTTTTTTCATTCTGTTTTCTCTGTCCCGTTTCATTTTTTCATTCTGTTTTCTCTGTCCCGTTTCATTTTTTCATTCTGTTTTCTCTGTCCCGTTTCATTTTTTCATTCTGTTTTCTCTGTCCCGTTTCATTTTTTCATTCTGTTTTCTCTGTCCCGTTTCATTTTTTCATTCTGTTTTCTCTGTCCCGTTTCATTTTTTTCATTCTGTTTTCTCTGTCCCGTTTCATTTTTTCATTCTGTTTTCTCTGTCCCGTTTCATTTTTTCATTCTGTTTTCTCTGTCCCGTTTCATTTTTTCATTCTGTTTTCTCTGTCCCGTTTCATTTTTTCATTCTGTTTTCTCTGTCTGTCTCTCTCACTTTCAAATTCTCCACTATTGTAACCAATATTTTAATAACTCTCTTTCAAACAAATATCCTCGTCTCCCGCCCCCACCCTTATTTATATATATATTTTTTACTTTATTTCTTCAACAATCTCCATTCGGTCCACTTCAGAATCTCTCACGCATTTCTTCACCGCTCTCTATCCGATTCCTTTCTTCTCTCTTTATTCTCATTATCAATTCAATATTTCTTCTTGTATTAGTTTCTATCCGCCA